TTTTGTGGTACGCGGGCCTCTCACTGTTGTGGCCTCTCCCGTTGCGGAGCACAGGCTCCGGATGCGCAGGCCCAGCGGCCATGGCCTGTGGGCCCAGCTGCTCCGCGGCATGTGGGATCTTCCCAGACTGGGGCATGAACCCGTGTCCCCTGCATCGGCAGGCGGACTCTCAACCACTGCGCCACCAGGGAAGCCCCTTACTATTGTTTTTGATGAAAATCTTAAAAAATTATTTTAAATAATTCTTTAAATTATGTAATAATTTAGTAACTTAAATAATGAAAAAATATTTTATTATGAAAGATTTTAAAAATAGACAAAAGTAGAATTGTCTAATAAACCTCATATACCCATCACTCAGATTCAGCAGTTACCAAGATTTTGCCACATGTGTCTTGTCCATTCTTATTTTCCTTTGGGGAAATATTTTAAGGCAAATCCCAGACCTCATGCCATTTTTAACCCTATATATTTGGAATGTATCACTACAAACTATGTGCATTAAAAAAAATAACTATAATGATATTATCATGCCTTACAAAATTAATGAAGATTCCTTGGTGTCATCTGAATTTTAATCCATTTTCAGATTTCAGAGACATTTTCGATTGTTTCAAAAATGTCTTTTCATTTTTGGTTTGTTTGAATCAGGATCCAGACAAGGTCTGTACATTGCATTTGGATGGTACAACTTGTGGGTCTCTATTCATTTAGTTTCCCTCTCATTTTTTTCCCCCCATGACATTATTTTGTTGGGAAAACTAGGTCAGTTGTCCTGCGCAATGTCCCACCGTCTGGATTTGGCTGTTGGTTTGTGATGTCACTGAACTTGTCCCCCCCATTTTCTGTAAATTGTAAGTTAACCCTGCAGGTTTAACTGGATTCAGGATTTTTTTTTTTTGGCCAGAACACTTCAAAGGTGGTGCAGTGTACTTTATGTTGTTATATCAGGAGGCACATAGTGTCTGATTGACATTAGTGATGCCAAAATTGTTGATTGTGTTCAGGTGGCAGGAACCTGATCCCTCCATCGTAAAATTCCCTGTCAGTCACTCGTGTAAGGTCTTATTCACTGATAACTGTGGTGGGATACGTTATTTATTTATGGGTTACAAAATGATCACCTTCTAATTCTATTTTTTCTATATCTGTTTGGAATGCCTCTGTTAAAAAATTATCCTTAAGTAAATAAAAAACTTCCCTGAAAACAGTTTTATTAAGAAATTGTAATTAAAAACAAAGTAAGGGAGTAACAAGTTATCATGGATCTTCATCATTATCATTATTATCATTAAAAAGTACTGTTTGATCAGCTGTACTAAACTTAGGTTGTTATACTAATTGGTTGATGGTCAGTGAGTTTTAGAACCATGAGTCTTGTTTCTCAGTCCTAAGGTATAACCACATTAGACTTTTGGCAGTATTCCCTTCAATTTTTGAGGTTGTTTTTTGGGGTTAGAAAGAGTTTTGCTGATTCAGGCCTACAGTTAATAGCACTTACTGAACATTTATTGTACGTTGATTATTCTGTGAGGTACTTGGGGAGGGCCTTGCGAATAGATACGGGTCACAGAGGTAAGGACAGAAAAGAAACAAAAGAGATAGTCCTTGCTGTCACCTAAGTTAAAACTTCTCGGGGAAAGCCATAAAAAATGAGTGGGCAGTGCATATGAGTGCAGTTGATGACAGTAGCAGAATAACTGAATTTTTCTCTTCGAATACAGGTGGTGTTAGCAAAGCATGTATATGAGCAGGTTTTACAAACTCTGGACAATCTCGTGTACAGTGAAGACCTGAATAAGCTTCCAGTCAGTGCCAGCCCCTCACCTTGCCCTGACTCTCCTCTGCCTGCCCTCGGTACCTGTGGAGAACCTTCCGTTGAAAGGAAGAACGGATTGTTCAGCCACTGCAGCCTTTCTCACTCTTCTCAAAAGTCCTTGTCTTTTAAGGAAGTCAGATCTTTTACCCAGATTCAAGCCAACTTCTGTATATCAGAGCTTCAAGTTCAGCTAAGTGGAGATCTGACTTTGGGGGCGCAAGGTCTTGTGAGCTTGAAATTTCAGGATTTTGAGGTGGAATTCAGTAAAGACCATCCTCAGACTTTATGCATTCAGATTGCCCTGCGCTCTCTGCTGATGGAAGACTTACTGGAGAAAAATCCAGATTCCAAATATAAGAACCTGATGGTGTCTCGGGGAGCCCCTAAGCCATCTAGCTTAGCACAAAAAGAGTATCTCTCTCAGTCTTGCCCTTCTGTGTCCAACGTGGAGTATCCAGATATGCCTCGGTCTCTCCCTTCCCACGTGGAAGAAGCTCCTAATGTCTTTCAGCTGTATCAGAGACCCACGTCAGCCTCCCGGACGAAGCAAAAGGAAGTCCAAGACAAGGACTGTCCCTTGACCCCACCTCCTTCTCCAACAGTAGAGGAGCCCAAGGTACTTGCTGGAAGGAGTAAATTTGATGATTCCTTGGTCCACATCAATATATTCTTGGTGGATAAGAAGCATCCGGAATTCTCTTCCAGTTATAATCGAGTTAACCGGAGCATTGATGTTGATTTTAACTGCTTGGATGTGCTGATCACACTGCAGACCTGGGTCATGATACTAGATTTTTTTGGAATTGGCTCCACTGCAGACAACCATGCAGTGAAGGTGCCGCCTGAGGACATTCTACAAAACGTGAAGTCAGAGTCAAGTGCTTTAATAGAGTCTGAACTTCAGGATCCAGTTAACACCAAACTGGATCTCAAGGTATCAGTCCTCTTTGGCTCCCGTGAGTTGTAAGAATGAACGTGGGCTTTTTTACTTAAATGCTGTCACTGTACATTTACTCTAGAAAATTCTTCTTATTGGCAGGGGAGCTATATGGTGAGGGGAGGTATATGATGTCTATTACAAAAGGGTAGACATTCGTATTTTAGAAAAGGTTTTAGCATTAATCCCCTCTGGAGGCAGGGGAAGTAAATGGTTTCAGTAACTTCTTGGCTTTCCTTTGGGCTATATAGTTCATTGGAATTACTTAGCTTCTCTGAGCCTCCGTTTCCTCATCTTCCATCATCTCACTATGATAACTAAATGAGGGAATTATGTAAAGCACCTGGCAACGTGTCCAGTACATAGTAGCTACTTGAAAATGTGCCTATTGTCATCATTGCCCTCTCACTCAGAACATTATTGGCTCTTATTGAGAGCAACAGTACAGGTGTTAAAAATGAAGCCTCGAATGTCAGATCTGCCTGGATCTGAATCCTGGCATTTTTGTTGTAACCATACAGCTGTGTGGCTGGGGACAAATTATTTAGCCTCTTTCTCCTACAAGTTTTTCATGAATAAACGTAGGGTGTTTAATGGTGCCTGTGTCTTTGGGTTCTGAGGATTCAATGAGATGATGTAGGTAAGGCCCTCCTCACGTGTGTGGCAGAAATGACCATTCAGTGAATGGTCCTTCCCCCCACCTTTTCCTCCCATGCAGTTGTCTTGTAGAAACTGGGTTAGTGTCCCCTAGAGTGTCCTGCACTCTGGATTTGTCTCTTTGTGTCCTTATGGTACCATTTGACTTCTTTTATCCTCTAATTTTAGAAATGGAAGTTAGCTCTAGAGACTTGATCAGGTTCAGGTTCGACTTTTTGGTAAGCACCCTTCAGAGGTGGTGCTGAGTGCTTCCTATCGAGTTACACCAGGAGGTCTACAGCATCCGGTTGTCCCACTTCTGGTGACTCTTAAGATCCATGCTAAGAGTGGGCTCAGGTGGTGATAGCTGGATTCCTCTAAGCAGAGCATTTTTAGGCCCATTACGTGCGTTATTTTGGTGATTAAGTGGCTAGAAGTGTTTTTACTTCCCCCTTCATGATGGTCTCATTCCCTCGAGCTCCTTCTGTTGTCCATGTCCAAAAACTACTGCAAGGGGACCCTCTGTGGTGCTGGAGTGGCCCCCCAGGGTCATTGCTCCATCTGTAATAATTCTCTCCTTTGTTCTCTGCCTTCCCCTACACATGATTTTTCTCCTTCCTTTCCTTCTATTATTTTCTTTCTTTTTCCACTTTTTCCCATTCGTCAGACATGTACCGATCACCTACTTTGTGGTAGGCATGAAAGATAAAGGCGTGAGTATCGCTGGGCTCTGCCACTCGGGAGCAGAGTGTGTGGATGGGGGTTTGATCTGTTCTCCGTCCCCTCTTCTCTCCTTCCTTCTCCTCAGTCAGGGCCTCACCCCAGTGATAACACTCATAGGTACCTGCCTCAATAAATCACAGACATAGAGTCCTTTTTGTGGTTAAAATGACAGTATTACAAAACAGTATTTCTTTGTTTCAGAGAATGCTGTTCCCAAGACAGAGGATTTTGGTTTTCTTCTATTTATAGTTGTCTCTGGGAAAGGAAATCTTGGATTGTAGTTCCTAAGTGAAGTCCCAGTTGGTCACCACGGGCTTCTATTAAATACTTGTCCAAAGACGTTAAACATTAAGTGTATTTATCATTTTGCTTCGACAGATTTCTTAGGGTGGACTTCACTTAATGAATCTGTGTGAGTGATTACAGAATAGTGCGATGTTAGAGATGAATGCAAAAAGGGGAAAAATTGTTTTATAATGTAAAACATTTCACTAACAAAGAATAGACGAGGCCAAAAAAACCCACAAAAACCTGAAAACCAAAAATACCAAGAAACAACAGAGTTCCTTTCCTATCAGCTCTCTCCTCTTATTATGGTTTGGCTGACTAAGAAAAGCTGAAATGAAGATGGCATCAGTAAAATAAAAGCTTTATCTTCAGATTTCCCGAGACTTGCAGCATCTTTATCGATGCTGTTTGCCTGAAAGTTACCTTTTTTTCCCCTCAGTAATATTTGCCTTGCTTTACCTCCTGTGTTCTTAGGTTCATTCGCTCTCTCTCGTGCTGAATAAGACCACCAGTGAGCTTGCTAAAGCAAATGTGTCCAAATTAGTGGCACACCTGGAAATGATTGGTAAGTGGGGAAAATCAGACTTGCAAAATCTGGGAAGAGTTTGAACATCCTGCTTACAAATCTAACTGTCCTTGCTGGCTAGGGTGTGGCTTAGTGGCTTGGTTGTGGTTACTAGCCTGGCCATGATTTGTGGTGGTGGTGCCCTAATACTGGTCTGTGGATCAGAATCATCTGGGTAGCTCGTTAGAAATGCACACGTCGGCACAACTCCTTCCCCATCCTAGGAATCGGATTCTTTAGGTTGGGATGGGGTCCTGACATCTATCTGTGTTTTAAACAGACTATCTGGGTGACTGTGTAATTTCTTTGTCTAAAATTAGGACATTTTGGGGAGTGAAAGGGGGCATTATTCATAATTACAGCTGGGAAACAGGCATATAACAGGGCCGTCTCTGGGAAACCAGGGCACGTGTTCAGTCTGTTGCCACGCGTAGGGGGAGCCACCAATAGGGGGTGGTTTAGGCAGGGCGATATTGTAGCAAAGCTAGCATTCTTTCTAATGGGACTCCATAGGTTGAAATTCCTAGTAGCACACAAGAGAGGAGCTATATCAAGTTCTAAATCAGAGGGATTTACAGTGTGCATAAAATACCGCTCCTTTTTTAAGCAACTGGTAATGAAATAAGGAAGATTACAAAGCTCCAATGTTGATTCTGTAGTAAAATAAGAATGTCTTTTGGGGACGGGATGAACTAAAATTGAGATTTCATGCCTGGTATAAATTAATTATAAAAGCTTCCTAGAAGAGATGGGTCTTTAGAATTGGGAGAAGCTTGTGTATTTTTGTTAGAGGACATTAGGGGTCAAAAATAAGTACGTGTCTTCAGTTCATTGGACGCAGAACTAGCCCGACAAATATATACACATCAGTCATTGTTCTGTAATGCTGATTATGGTGATAAAGTTTGTTTCGCAGAAGCAGCAGTGCAGAATATTCCTTTTCAATATCCACAGCATGTTAAGAATGACTCATATAGGTTTGCGCCCCAGGTGTACGTTTCAACATTTCTTCTTTCTTCTACCCACCTTCCAGGGGCTTTACTTGTGTGATGTCAGAGTAGTTTCAAATCTGTGTCTCCAGTGTCTGTCTCATTAATTTTGCTTTTTAATTAAATCACACTAAAACCCATTTTTTAATGCTCGAGTAACATATCTCTGACACTTCCTCCTTTATTCTTTTTTTTTTTTTTTTTTTTTTTTTTTTTTT